GAGTTAAGAATCAAATATATGATGTTAGAAGATGTTTCTATATTCATCTTTTTTAAACAATAACATAATATGGCAATTACTTTAGATTTGCCATCATGGTTACTACTCACAATATGCGAAAAGAGTCCACATCTTCTTAGTTTACTATTGCATGTATGAATAGCATCGTCCATAGTTTCTTAAAACAATTGTCTACCCTTTTCCATGCTAAATTATCAACAAAGTTCCATTATAATTTATAATCTTTCACATCACTAAATAACAAAGAGATTACAAAATTACTTACATCTAGAAAGTCGAACAACTCTGGAAAGACAGAACACAATTTCATATATGTGTGCTTACGCCCTTTATCAAACAAAAGCTCAAGTTTATTAGATGATGAACAAAACATCAAAAGAGAAGAAGCTTAACCAAGAATACGTATATATGATATTAAAAAATCATAACAAAAGTATCGCTACTGAAATAATAATTAATAATCAATTTCCTGTTTGGAAATAATAGGGTTCAGACAATGATGATAACTCTACAATAGAACATATGCTTTTCATCGTGGAAGGCAGACGATAGAAAGTACCGATATAGCAAATGAGAAGACGGCATTTTAACCTCAATTTGTTTAGGAACCTACTTAAATAACTTGCGGGTTGTTAAAGAAACTCACTTATTAGTGAGTGATGCAAGTGAAGAATTATAGAAATTATATACTATTCGTAAACACGTATAACATAATACATATTAAACCACTTACCTATGAAAAAAGGGGACATAACGACATGGTTGTATGATGTACCTTACAATGAAATGATTCAATGAGAAAGCCTTAGGTGAAAATCTTTAATTCTCCATTGACTTGTCAGATATAAATGATATTCAAAAAAGAAAAAAGAAAAATACTTTTCTAAGTTCAAGTAAAATCGAAAGATCCATTTGAAGGATAAATAGTTAAATCTGTCACTGAAAGAAGAAAATAAATTTCTAAGTATAGACCCCCTTACTTTATAGGATTTTTTTTTAAAATAGACCGATTTTGCTAAATATTTAGCAAAATCGACAGATCAATTTAAAAAAACACCTCCCAGAAAACATATAGGACTAGTAGTCCCGTATGTTTTTAGTGTGCTAATCACAGAGTAGTGCTCTTATAGAACATACGGGACTACTAGTTCCGTATGTTTTCTGGGAGATTAGTGCCCTTGAAAACATACGGGACTAGTAGTCCCGTATGTTTTCAGCTGGGCGTTTTTTAAAATCGACCTCTTGTTGGCCAAAAAGAGGTCGATTTTGCTAAATATTTAGCAAAATGGTTGATTTTACTAGATTTTAAAAAAAATTTCCTACTTTATAAGGTTCTAATTATAGCAGTAAATTACACATAGTGTATAGAAAATCTAGGCTACCTGCTCCTTGTAGACATTATACAATTAGAAATCATGACAATAGTTTCCTCATTATTTATCAAAAACTTTTAAAAAAAATTGTAATGAAAAAGGCACTGTATTTATCAAACTATTTTTAAAAATTGACATCTAAATATATTCATATTAGCTAATGAGGCAATAGAGAAACCCAAACCCATAAGGCCAACATTTATTTACCACAATAAAGTTCAAGTAGAAATGCTTACCAAAGAGTTACATAGAAATATGAGCATCTTTAGTACTAGTTTACATTAAATTTGAATTTTGTTAACTTTAAAAATATAGAGGGCAACAATATTCACACATAATTTACAATACACAATATTATAGATTAGTCGATATGATCCAACAGATTACATAGATTTCAGACAAAAAAAGGAAAATATCGGCAACTCCATTATAATCAAGCAAGTAGCTTATGGTAGAAACATATTAGAGTTCGCAGACATGAGTGTCTCTCCAATCAAGTATCGGTTTGCATATCAAATCAATAATAAATAAAGATTTAAAATGGCTAATCTAACCAAATTATCATCGAATCAAAAGCACATATAAAAAACATAGAGGGATAGGAGATCGACAATTACCCTCTCTAAAGTTGTTGGAATGATTCTAAAAGTATAAAAGACGGCTTCGAGAAATTAAGCATAGAGAAGAAGGGATAAGAAAATAGATTAAGAAGTTATCCCTATTTGACTTTAAACTAGTAAAATTTGTTTTTGCTAGAACAATTCATAATAATAAACATACTATTTTAACTATTTTAACTTAACCCAAAGCCTCTTAAAATTTCAAATCACTAAAGATAAAATAGAATTTAAGAAGAACAAACTAATAAACTAATACACAATAATAAGTAGCATAAAGTGAGGAACTAAGTTATGGAAAGACCCTGCGATCTAAATATTATACGAATAAAAGATCTTTGATTGCCGTACAAAAAATCTAATAAACTAATACAAAATAATAAATAGCACAAAAAATAAATACAAGTCATAATTTCTCACTGGCTTATATATTCAGCTAGCATATGAGATTAAAATGCCTCTTTTGTGTCTCTATGTTCCAATATTTCAAAAACTAAAGCAAAAGAAGAAAAATAAATATGGAATCCCTAACTTAATCTGAAATGTAAAACTATAATCTAAGATCAATTTTTGTAATTTCATTTCATCTAGTTGAGCTCGAATGTGATGTTGACCATAGTGTGATTTGGACTGCTAGTCAAAAGTAGGTTAGTGATGAGATGATGAAGAATAAAAAAAAGGATAGAAATAGATCGAGATAAATGAGACGGTGAAAAGAAAGAAAACTCAAGTACACCCTAAAAAAATTGTACCATATGATCGGGGATCAAGAACAAATCCTAGAAATTGGGGATTAAGAGAAATGTAAAATCCTAAAAAGAAATTTTGCCATAGAATTAAATAAAGAATGATACAATTGATAAAAGGGAAAAATCTCACATTTGAGGTGTGATTTTGAGCCCGCTGTTGTAGATACTTTGCCGGTCGGGATTGGAGTTGGAATCAGAGTCTGGATCTGGAATTTGAAAAGGCAAAGAGGAGAGGTGAGAGATAGAATTGTAGAGAGATAAGGGAGATGTAGAAGTAGAAAGACAATAGAGTACTTACTATCCTCACCGCAAAGAGAGAGAAAGAGAGAGATCTATTTTTTCCGCGCTTTCTTTTCTTTGGTAGTAGAGCACAGCTGTTATCCACAGGGAATGGTAACCATTTTTGAAATTTGGAAATCAAATATGCTGGCTAACTTGGAGGTTTTTGTCAGCCTAATAAGATGGACACAAAGAAAACTTTACTGTAGCCAAGGGGTCCTATAGGTATAAAAGTGGTTGATTTACAATATGTTTATATGGAAGTCCAACCTTAACTTGAACATCATCAATCCAACAGCTTACTAGTGAATAGCCTAAAGTTGGTAAAATGGTCATCTTTACTCGCAAATGCCTGACATTGTCGCTGGTAGTTAAAGGTTTCCAATATGGATAGATGCCGAGCATATAATGGAGCATGCACTGCTTTTAATAGAGCGATCTGGAACTAAATCCTAGAATTTGGGTTTGGCTAAGGTCTATGTGTTTTCATACACGAAATTATATTGACTTTGGTATGTTTTACTTGGTAAAATGAAAAATTGCTTGGAAGCAAGAGAAAGGAAAAAAAAGGAGCAATAATGAACAAGCAGAAAAGTGGAGCTTAGAGAAAGCTACTGGGCCATTGGCTCTATCTGGTTGTGGCCACAGTCCTTGCTTGCAGTCTGCTGCAATCATCTTCAACTACTAAAAGTAGAATGAGTCTAGGCTAAGTTGCATGGATCCAGGTAGTGGTACTAGTACATTTACAGGTACGGGTACGGGACACGGCAAATTTGTAAAAGGTAGGGTAGAGGGACAAGGCTATAAATATGTATTTTGTGTATAGTTATATGTATTAAAATTAATAATTTATATAGGATCAATATTGTTTTTGATTTACATGAGATCAATATATTAGAAATAGATGTGTAGAATATACCAAGAAGTGTATGAGGAGTGTTTTAAATTAAAACATGTAGTATATAATTGAGTATACGCTTGAACAAACATTTGCATATGTGTTCAAGAAGCAACCAAGAAGTTTGGGTATGGTAACGAGTACGGGTACTTGTCGGGTACGGGTACGACTTCCAAATAGACGTACCCAGGTAACATAGAGTCTAGGTCTAGTTTCTACTTCCTTTCCCTTGTTGGGTTTGACAGAAAAATGAGTTGCGGTAAATGCTAAATCCTGTTTTACATTTGGTGTGCTCAGGTTAATTTGCCTTTAGCTAATTGTTTGGGTCTTTGGCTAGCTTGTTCGACACTCAACCTTTTAACATGACGACGACCATTGTTTTACTTAACAAGCGTGTATTAGATTGTCTACTGTATGAACGGTACATTCCCCCTCCTGATAGCCAAGCCAATGCAATTTAAGAATCATAACAGCATGTAGGTTGAGCAGTTTTCTCAACATAAAGTAAAGAATCTGAAAGGACAAATGTAAGCGTGGTTTAAGAATAATGACTGATATTCTCATCCAGTTAGCATTGAGTTCCTACCACCTTTTGCTTTTACGAATTGTAGAATAGACTGTAGAACTTTGTGTTTCTGTGGTATAGCTAAACTTATATTCTGATACTTTATTGCTCAAGGTCCTAATGCGATGTCCAGCTTGCTAATTACATACCCAGAGTTCGTATTTGTGTATTTATACTTGAATATTGCTTGAATTCTTTGAAATTAATTATATGAATTTGAAACTTGCTTATTCTGGAACGCTATTTGGTAGCTAGTTGTGTGACTTTTTATATGGGTTAAACTTGAGTATTGCTTGGAAGCTAATTGTTTGTATCTACTTATTGGTGGAAAGTAACTTGATTCACGTTGATTATGTTTGCTTGTCCATTTCAATTAATTGTATGACATTGGTCCTGCTCATCACCCTTGTGTCACTTGTCATTCTACTTTTGCCTTTCATTTTTTTATTATGTTTTCTCCTTGATTTCTGAGGTTTACTTCTACTTAAACTTCAACAGGCAGAGAAAAGGGACGTTGTTGGTTTGCAAGAACAGGTAAGTCTTTGGCTGTCAAATTAATACTGTAAATAATGTGGCTATTTGCATCATGTTATCTAATCTAATTAATTGTGTGGATTCTAGGTCTTTGTCAGAAAAATAATTGAGTTGCATGACAAGTATTTGGCTTATGTGCAAAATTGCTTCCAGAACCATTCCCTTTTCCACAAGGTCCGTCTTGAAATTTTTGGGGTTAATTTATTGTCTTTTTCTTCTCAAGTGCTAACTCTTCTTTCTTCAGGCTCTAAAAGAGGCTTTTGAAGTTTTTTGCAACAAGACTGTTGCAGGCAGCTCAAGTGCTGAGCTGCTGGCTACTTTTTGTGATAATATACTTAAGAAGGGTGGAAGTGAGAAACTAAGTGATGAAGCTATTGAAGAGACACTTGAGAAGGTATCTTTTATTAAGTCAATGCTGTGTCCTTTCTTTTTTCCATGTCTTATCTTGGAGCTTGGTGTGAAGAGAAATTTAACAATTCCAGGTGGTTAAGCTGCTTGCATATATTAGCGACAAAGATCTTTTTGCTGAGTTTTATAGGTAACTTATTTTCTTCAAATTAACTATTATGCCATATGCACATGTACAATGGTTTTTTATGCTGTAAGTCTACTTTGATATGTTATTCCCTAAACTAGATAAAATTTTCCTTTTTAAATCTAATTTACAGGAAAAAGCTTGCTCGGAGACTGCTTTTTGACAAAAGTGCAAATGATGAGCATGAGCGGAGTATTCTGACGAAACTAAAACAACAATGCGGGGGGCAGTTTACCTCCAAGATGGAGGGAATGGTCTGTTATTCTAACTTATGCTATTAACTAAATGTGAAGTGTGGATTAATTGATGATGTGTTATTCTTTTTTATCTTTCAGGTCACTGATTTGACCTTGGCGAAAGAGAATCAAACAAACTTTGAGGAGTATCTTAGAGATAACTCGAACGTAAATCCAGGAATTGACCTGACTGTTACTGTCTTAACTACTGGTTTCTGGCCAAGCTACAAATCTTTTGATCTCAGCCTTCCAGCAGAGATGGTAAGTATTTGGTTCCTAATAGTCTTCTCTTATTTTAGAAATGCAATTGTCATCTACAGCTGTAATGCTGTTTTGTTCTTTTCTTGTTTTTTCCATCGTTGAGAAAAGACTTGTGTACGGGAGTATATTTTGTATCAAGAAGGTATTTGGTGCTTCATGATCACTAGTTTGGTCCTTCTGCTAGAGGAGACTTCTTGTACTATGTATTAGTATATTTCATAGTAAATTGAATAAATTTATATCCCTTCCCTGAGAGAATCTATTTTTACAATTAAGTTCTTTATTTGTGGCACCTAACAACTTACGCAGTTATTGTGTTTTAGATTAAATGCGTGGAAGTTTTCAAGGAGTTCTATCAAACAAAAACCAAGCACAGAAAGCTCACATGGATATACTCGTTAGGTACCTGCAATATTCTGGGGAAGTTTGAGGCCAAAACCATAGAGCTGGTTGTGACAACTTATCAGGTCTTGCTAAGCTTTTTTGCAGTTAAATAAATTGGCCATTAGCTGGCATTATTGGATTGTTGGATGTAACATTTTTTCCCTTTTCCACCAGGCTGCTGCATTGTTGCTTTTTAATAACTCAGATAGGTTGAGTTATTCTGAGATTATGGCCCAGCTAAACTTGTCAGACGACGATGTGATCAGATTACTTCATTCCCTTTCTTGTGCTAAGTACAAGATTCTTAACAAGGAGCCGAGTACTAAGTCCATAACTCCGAACGATCATTTTGAATTTAACTCCAAGTTCACGGACAAAATGAGAAGGATTAAGGTCTGTGCATTTATTTATTTTTGAGGGCATGTTGCGTATCTGCATTGTGCACTAAATCATTTTGCATAATCTTTATTTTAATAATTGCAGATTCCTCTACCCCCTGTGGATGAAAAAAAGAAGGTAATTGAAGATGTTGATAAAGATCGAAGATATGCTATTGATGCCTCAATAGTGCGAATTATGAAAAGTCGGAAAGTTTTGAATCATCAGCAACTAGTCCTGGAATGTGTAGAACAACTTGGGCGCATGTTCAAGGTATTTAGTTGCATTTTTAACCATTTAGGTGCCTGATGATCAACAGTAACTAGTACGTTCTTCCTTTTGACTTAAAACTGCTATAGCTTCTTATCTCTATCCTTTATATCTCTGTTTGCAGCCTGACTTCAAGGCGATTAAGAAGAGGATAGAAGATCTCATCACCAGGGATTATCTTGAGAGGGACAAAGACAATGCTAATGTCTACAAATATCTCGCCTGATCAAAGGAACACAAACTTTTGCCTGTCCTGTTTTTCTCCCTTACAGCTATGATCAGTGGTTTCGAACGCATTTCGTCCTAAGCATGGGGTAATTTATCACTGCGCACAGGTGATATCTGCTGCAGGACACCTGGAAGTATCAAGGAGCTTGTGCTTGCCTTTATTTGAAATTCCACTTTAAGTGGATGTGTAAATTACCAGAGGATCATTTTGTTCAATTTGTGAAATTCTCAACTGAATGAGTCAATGACTATATAGTTCTATTGGTGCTAAGTTGACATTCTTTTGACTTTGCACTTTCTGTACCTAATGTTCGTCATCCAACTTTGAGATTTAGTCTCAAGTATGTGTTATTGTGATTTCCAGTGACAGTAATTCTGAATAAATACAGGCGCCAATGATGCACATAGTTGCAATGTATCTGTGCAAATTACGGAGATTTGAATTAGAAAGCAGATATTGATGTAAAACTAGTGAGATAAAAGTGCAACTACAGTCATTTTCTTAGAATTATTTTGGAGAGGCAAATTATTTCTCCTGTTCCTTTAGTTTGACTTGTTCCAATAAGTTGTGCTCCAGCTAAATGTGTGTTTGAAAGATCTCAACCTTGAATCATTTTGGGCTTCGTGATCTGCACATTTGATTCAATGGTTGACATCTCTTGGGTGGATATTTAGTGCCATGGACCAAATGCATATGATACTTTGATGGACTGAACCAAATGCATATGATACTTTGATGTACCGGATGCATGTGATACTTTGATCTGACGAAACTCATATAGTTTCCAACATTATAACCATTAGTACCAACATTATTAACCATTAGTACCTTTAGTACCAACATTATTAACCATTAGTACCTTGAGGATGGATGATAGCAAAAGTAAAAGTTTTTGGAGTACGCATCCCCTCAAAGAGCCGCTCCATGCGAGCGGGTGGTTTTGAGCTGTACATGCGCAAAAAAGAGGTTAAATTCATAATTTGACCTCTCCATGCTGGCTGTTCTGAGAGGATATCTTATCAAGATTTTGTCATATTTGATCTAATCTAATCCTCTCTTAATTTTTATATTAAGCTCTAAGATCTTCATATTTCTAATTTATACTTCCAAAACCATAACTTTGTTTTAGGTTACACCCTTTAAAGTCAGGATTTTGTCATATTAGAAGCTAAATTACTTCTTAATTTTATGTTTGGCCCCAAAATGTTCATAGTTCTAAGTAACACCCCAGATGACAATTATAGATTGAATGCAAACAAGGCGTTTGAAACAATTTAATATATTTGAGAGTGTAAATTAGAAATGTGAAGATATTAATGGCTAATATTAAATTAAGAAAGAATTTAGGGTCTAATTATGACAAAAACACAAAAGAAATTATAACAATGATAGAAGATATGAACTGTCTTCACACGACCCCTAAAAAGTAAAAACTCTGAGGAGGTACACCTCTAACTCACTAAACCATATGTGCATACGCTACACAGTGTTATCTTCTCAAAACCAATCAAGAGTTACTTACGCACAATTCCTCAGTAACGTATTTGTTATGGGCATGCTGCTGCTGAGCCCCTGTCTCGAAGCCTTGGGATCTATGCTTGCCTTCAGTCATGAGTCCTTGCGATGATGATCTGAGAATACCATCCTTTTGTTTTGATGTTCAAACTCCACAATCTACAGACCTTCGTGCCCCTTTCTTGACAATTTGCTATAGCATCTATGGCGAAGCGAGTGAAAAGACTAGTCAGTCGGTAATCATTCTTCACTGGATAAGTTTCTGGTTATAGAGGCCTGCTGGTGCTGAAATCTTACAGAAAATTTACCAGTAAATTCTTGCGAGGATGTTTGGAATGTTCTTCCCGTTGTCCCCTGATCCTGATGTCACCATCCGAATTTGCTTCACCTCGTAGTTAAACGAAGCTCTAATCATGTCTGCGTTGGGCAGTGATATGCAGTACTTGACAGCCTTTAGCCTGCTCAAAGGTCTCATACTTTCCAACTTCTGGTCTCCAACCTCTGTACCTGTAGAAGTCCTCGGAATGATTAAACTGCGCATTTTAATGTGAATGCAGAATTTTGTATGCCTTCGAAATATAACCAAGAAAAGCGCAATTAGTACATGATTTGCCATCCCCGAAGAAGCAACATCATTTGAAAACAATTAGGTTGTTTGCACATGGATTAGCATGTTCCTAGTAATGAAGAGAGATGTAGCATAATAATCCAGTAATATATATGTACCTACCATCATAAGAACATTCCTGTATTTTTAACTGTTGCTTTATGCTTATAAATGATGAGATTCATTCTTTTGTTGCTTATAGTTCCCTCAGAGGTGAATATATCTGAATCCCAGCTATAGTTTTGAGTATGTGCTGAACAAAGAGAAGTTGTACTTACATTATTTCGCTGGTCATCTCTACGAAATAGAATTTTGGCCTTCCATGAGACAGGTAAAAAAAGTGAGCACAGTTTATACATATTTATTGATGTTAGGACTGAAAATGTATAGCATGCGAAGTATTGGTGTGACCAATCTCTTGAAGCCAACCCTCATAAATAATTCCCAAATGAGCAAGACCCGAGCCTTAACTGATGGAAGTTGGTCAGATACCTCAATAATCTCTTGAAGCCAACCTTCATGCTCACTTCCTAGCCCACCCTCAACCAATCACACGCATCATACCGAGTAAGAGAATGTCATTTATCACCTGGAAATTCTCATGACAAATCCTCACCAGGCTCGGAAAAGGTTAGCATCACAGATTTAGAGGTGCCCTCAAACAGTTCTTGCAAATACCCAACATCTTCTGATGAGAATTTGCTTTTATTGAAAAAATTTCTAGTTGCCTAAGGTCATTTATTGTATTTTCTTTACTTCTTTGGCTATTATAAGTTCTGACAAATCAGTTATCAGAACAACTCTGGTTTCC